TCATATATTTTTCAACGAATTTTTCTATTAGGTAGCAGTTAAGTTCTTGGGTATCTTTTGAAGTTGAGTTTTGATTTTGGAGTCAGTGTCACACGACAGAATTTGCTAGTATGACTCATTTCATGGAGCATGTAGTTAGTGTTTTGAGACACATGGTCATTTTTGAATATGACTTAGTAGATAACTATGGGGCTCACTATTAATTTTACATCTATATGTACATTTCATATTATGTTCCCAATAAAAGTTGAGAACTCAACTTATCTCTATTGTATTGTATTATTGTTGGGATTTGTGCATGGTAGATTAGTCATATTTACAAGGGAAATAATGCCAAAATTCTATTTAAAATAATTTATAAAAAGTTGAATATTGTAGTAACCTAGATGGTGGATCTGATATGGTGCACGTCACTTTTCAAGTCCACTAGAGTTCATAAAGCGGGGCGTGTCACAAGGAATAAACTAAACTCTTCAACCATAACTAAAACTAATTTCTCCAACAACAAAAAAAAGAAAATACTCGACCCCTCTTCCATTGTATCTAACTAGAATACATGAATCCAAGCACTACTCTGCAGAATTACCTCAAATTCACCAAAAAAAAAAATCATAAAGATTTAAAATTTACAAACCAGGTCTATAACACATCATAAAGCAAAATCAATCACAAATGCTTTTATAGAAGGCAATCCCTTTCTAAACTGTACACTTTCAACTATGCATAAAGCATGCCCAACAAAATCAGCATCCAAATACCTTTCTCCACTTTGTCGTTCCTAGTTAAATATAATAGCACCGCAGGTGATGATGGCAAAGTGATATTACCTATATTTCTTAACTCAATTGAGATGTATATTTCAAATCTGACCCTATAAAAAATCCCAAAGGTATTGAGACCAATTGAATGTCCACCAAAGTACTAAACCTGTGCTGATTGATTTCTCTAGATTTTGCAAGACCCCGTAAGATGTATATTTGAGACCTTTTCTGTTCCTTCAATACAACCTGGGCATCCTTGCAAACCTTCGATGCTCCACCTCCCCCAGAGAACTCATAACGGTTTAAATTAAGTATAGACAATGAGATGAGATTCTTTTTTCAAATTTGGAACATCTCGAACCTAGACAAGTGTTCTAATTGTCCATCCCTTGGCTTCAATTTGACCTTACCAAAAAGCAACCCGACAAGGTGCTTTGTGTTCCATGCTTCCATAATTATGACACATTTGGAAACTGTTTCATATGTAGTAAATCAGTCCTTATTAGGATACATATGAAATGCACATGCTAAATCTAGAATCCAATTCTCTTCAGATTTAAATTAGATGTCAGATATAGCCAAAAGATCTCCATCACTCATACAGTTCTCTGCCTGATCTACTTCGTTTAAAATATCTGATTACTTACCATTCTGATTTGCAATCAACCTTTCTTAATGTGCCCCCTCTTCTTGATGATAAAGTTACACATTTGATTATTGAAATTAGACTTTGATCTACCCCTTTTGTAACAACCATGAATAACAAGGCATTTTCCATTACTGGCCTTGGATCCAACCAGATACTTCATCTTCTCATTTGAAAACAAAGCATCGTACACATCGTCTCTGGTGAGAGTATCACGATTACACGAGATCGTGTCTCTAAATGAAGAAAACGAAGGCAGCAACAAACATAATAAGATCAAGGCCAAATCTTTTTCATCATATTTTTCTTCCAAAGTTTTCAAATCGGCGACAATCTCCTTAAATATAGCGAGGTGATCATCCAAAGATCTTGCTTCTGTCACGTGATGAGAGTATAATCGCTGCTTCAAATGCAACTTACTTGTTAGACTTTTGGTTATGTATAATTTTTTCAATATCAATCATAATATAGTTGCAGAACTCTCCTTCAAAACGTCCTAAAGAATGTTATTCGAAAGATGAAGATAGATATGAAAAGCCTTCTTATCCTTCCGTAATTTCTCCTTCACGGTTAAAGTTGTGGGCATCTTGTCAATTCCCAACAATGCATCTTTTAAATCCACCCGTGCGAGTACTACTCACATCTTAAGTTGTAGTAGCGAGAATCTAGTGCTCCGATCCAAAAGAGGAACGTCATACTTCATGGAAGCTATTGAGAAAAAAAAAACCTCGAACAAATCAAACCTTGCTCTGATACTATTTGTTGTAATTCGGATCGAAGTTGTATGGCAAAATATGAAATTGTAATAATGGAGAAACATACAAATTGTGTTTCTCATAATGAATCTAAAGTTCTAGGAATCTCTGAGGTTAAAGTCTCCTCATACTAAATTGTAGAGAAGAGCCAAACACATATAGAGAACAATCAAGTAAAATTGAAGATGAAATAAAATACTCAAAAGATTCCTTATCTTGATCTCTTTGAGTCGAATGCAAACTCCAACTTCCAATAGAGCTTCCAAATAGAATTTCAACTAGAATTTGTCAAATAAACTTTAAATAGGATTCCAAAAGTAATCCTAAATTGAATTTCTCTTGACATGCACTCCAATTAGAACTCTTTAATTATTTCAACAGTGAATTCAGGTTACACCCAAATTCTATCAATTGACAATGTATACAAGCTTCTTTTTCTAGTCATGGTTTGGTGATGACTTTGAGGATGTTATGACATTAAAATACCAATTATGAGGTCCATTTCAAGTGTTAAAAGTTCAAGCATGAAAGGTCTAACTCAATGGAATAAAATATTGCACCTTAAAAAAATATTACCTAAATAATGAGAGATAAAAAAAAAAATTTCAAATTATGCGAATGATGTGTCTTGAATTATAGTAAACTGGACGTGGTCATTCAAGTAGTAACATTAAAGGATACAAGCTTGGTGGAACATTAAAAACGCAGAATATCAAACTGACTCGCAATTATTGATTGTGTTTTTTACGGAATTATATATGAAGATATTCAGCTCCATATTTTAAATGTAGGTTTAGCAATTTTGAGAGGTTTTCCAATGGAAGAAGAAATGACAGAAAGAACACTTTTTTCAACAATATGATAAGAGAGTAATCCAAATTCACAATTATATGAGATTTTCTCCTAGGGTCAAATGTATGAATTCATTTGACAAATATGGTTAATTACTTTTAATATCCATCAATCCTCCAAATAACACCTTTCGAAATCAAAAATGTGGAAAGAAACTTTATTACCTTGTTCATCATAGGTTTACCTGGAGAAAATTGTCCAATGATGGCATACTTGAGAAGGGAGCAAAGCTTCCTAGTATCTACCCTTAAAAAAGTCAATTAGAGCCTCGTCGTTGAAAGTAAAGTATGGAGGAATAGAGGAGTTTGATGAGGGATGGAAATCGAGGCAAAGATTTTTTCTAAAACTAGGAGAGGGGTAGAGGCCCAGGGTGGTGGTGGTAGAGAAGGGAAAAGTAAGTGGTTTTAATGTGGAAAGGAGTGACCACAGGTAGGCGTTGATGGCAAGGTTGGCATTTAAGGGAAAAGTTGGGGAAGAAAATTGGTTTTAAGATATATATGAAAATATGTCACCAAATACCAATTATTTATATGGAGGTACTATTATATGAAACCAAAGAAATAAATTCATTACCTCAACTGGTTTATTGAACTAGCTAATAGGACTACTTAGTTTAACTTGTCCTTTTCATCTGTGAGTTGTTGAACGTCCAAGTACTTGTTTATAATGATCTATCAAAATCAATTCTATAAACAGAAAAAAGAAATCTACTTTCAGCACAATTACAACATATTAGGAAATTTAACTGAAAAGGCTAGCTAGTTCTTTGGTAATTTTGAGCAGGGTTAGTAATTTTGAGCAGGGTTACGTTGAACAGATCGCCAATTTTCCTCCATTCATGCTGTTATAGCTGAGAAAGGATCAAGCACTAGTTCAGAAAATTTATTTTACACTATGTTCTACTTCAACAAGTTGTACATAAAAATATACCAAATCAGTGTCTAGATCAAAGATCCACCTTTATTTTGCTAAAAAGTAATGGAGACATGTTTGACATATAACTTGATATATATGATCAAGAAAAAGGACATGAAATATAAGTTCCAATTATTGGAAAAAAAAAATATCAACAGATATGGATGGAAGCTAAAAACTAATTGGGTTTTCCTACTAAGAGTGCATAGTTGTATCATGTAGGGATAAGCTCACACTAACATTTTCAGTTTAGGAACCTCTCAATAAGCATCAAGAAGCCAAATGAAGGACTCATAATAATGAATGAGTTTATGGACTAATTTGATGTGTAGAGAGGCTTTCATGAGAACAAGAACAAGTTTTGCTAGGTATATATGAATTATTTTCTAGTGAAAACTACACTAGCTCGAGGCGCCACTCTCCATAACAAAATGTTTAGCTAGAAGGCATACATATAGCCCAAACAAACTTTGATAAGTAACAAAACTTGAGCCTTAAAAACTTTACTATCCATTGGCATACCAAGAGATAAGAATTTCAACAAGTAAGATGAGAATTTTCAAATATACAGGAAGTCATGTTAGAGCAGCTACACCTAGGTGAAGACATGACGGTATTCGTTAAAACTGAATTATGTATATTACTTAAAAGGGTAATAATAACTAAAAAAAAAACTTCTTTAAATTGTCAGTAATGCCATAAGGAGTCTCTCCCTCGAATCGATCAATCTCTCTACACGCTTGTATGCTGATATATATACATGGATTAATTCTTTAGTACAGTTCACGAGAATGGCTAAAGTTCTTGAACGAAAAAAGGGATGGCTAACAAATTAGTTGGGGTTTCAAGAATAATTTGAGGGGTATATCTACAACCAGAAACGACTAATTAAAGTGGCTATCCTGCAACATTTTTAAGCTATTTGACTTCTAAAATACTTGAAACCTTGTTTTAAGATTACTTTAAGTGTAAGTTTGCCAATAACTTATAAAAGAATCCCTTATCTCCTACCATTTTTATATGGACAACTCATCTGGAAAAACTACAAGTATTAATATGAGAAGAAATGGATTATTAGGATGATAAATTATTTTAATCAGAACCGGTGAACAAGTTGAAATAAAGAAAACTTACAGTCATAAAGTCTAAACCTCGGGTCATTTCTAACTCAGAAGTATCATGAAGAGCAACAAGAAGAAGCAAAAGGATTTATCACAAATCAGAAGGCAAAAGCCAAAAGACCAAAACGATAAACTGATCAATATACAAGATGGGAGGATGATCTACTGATTTTCTGACCTTTGGACCTAATATTGTGGCCGGTCGGCTGAGTTTCCGGTCCATGCACCGTCCATTGGAAACTGACCATTTGGCATATTCAGTGGCAAATTAAGAAAAGGAAGCCCTACAGATGGATCAGGAAATTGGCCGGTGCCACCACTACCACCACTGGATGGCTGCGACAACGGTGGCTGCAGCTGAAGCGCCTCGTCTTCGTCCAACGGCAGCCTCTCGTATGCCACGTTAGTGAAGGAGGCTGCGATAATGATAACTGGTCCAGAAGCAATCAAAGCACCGATCACATTTCCGCCAACAACCTGGCCCTGGCCACCGGCTAAATATATTGTTAAACTGGTGGCACCTGGTGGAGCCGGTGGAGGCAGAAAGGAACCCGACAGGGATAATATCTCAAAACGCCCATGAAGTGTCACCACAGAGCCGGCAGCAGCGGGCTGCCGCAAACTCACGTTATTGACCGTGCCTGTTCCACTCAAAATGCAAATCCCTCTCTGCCTCTTCCTTGCGTAAAGAGCCACTGCCTCAAACACATCACAGCCATTGCTGACTTCCAGTATGTGAGCTCGAAGCGTATTTGCGCTCTCTCGGGTGATAATTACCGGCGGTTTTGGCTTGTTTTTGGAACCCGGTGGGCGGCCCCGCTGCCTACGCGCACCCATATCGCCTGAACTTGTATTGGAGGTGATTAGGTCAAGCCCTTGATGCATATTATCTTCGTTTTCACCAGAAAACTGGTTTCCGGGACTTTCATCTTCAGAATCTGGTGGTCTTTGGAGGTGGAGATCAGGCCTGTGTAGCTGAGGAACAAAGTGTGAAACTGATCCTAAGTCCAAACCAGCCATATACACTACAACAAAGAGAACAGGAAACCAAGAACAATAAAGTATGATAAATTAAATTAAAAAAAAACAATAAAAAAAACTGAATTTTTTATAAGTAGTAGAGAAATTAAAGAACAACAATTAAAACCCTAGAGCAAATTGAAAACAAATCGAATCGTTTGGAGAGAAAGCAAAGGATGAGGAGGAAGCGTGTAGAGAGAGAGAGAGCAGACGCAGACATTCAGATAATTTAAAGTAAACATATAAAATTAGAGCGTATATATATATAAAGAGGGTGTTTGGAACTGATTTTTCAATTCAAAAAATTGATTTTTTTACTTTTATTTCACTATTTCATACGTAAAGTTTAACTTCTTCTCTTACAGGTAGCCCTCATTTTTCTTCTAATGATAAAAAAATTAATTCTCAAAATTATTCCTAAATGAGACCTCAAAGACAAGAGAAAAATTATATACATATTGCTTTTTGGATTAAAAAATGGATTAACTTGTTGTTAGGGAAGACAACAAGGTAAGTGAGGCTGTATGAATAATTAATATATGTGTCTATATTTCAAGTCTAGAAGAAAAGATGAAATGATAATCTTGCATTGTTTTACGTGTGATTAACGTTTCCGATTATTCCCAACTACCAAATGACACAAAAAAATTGTTGATATTTCAACTCAACAAGCTGTAAAAACTCCAACTGCGTCGAAAGTCAAATATGAATAAGTAAATTTATTTGCACTGAATCTGATCTCTAAAGTAAACAATTCACTATACGCTATGAAAGTGTATTGAAGACGAAGTTTAAATAAACAAATTGCTCTAAAAATTTAAGCGTCGAATAAGATGGTTATTAATAAATAGGGCGTTTGAATGAAATCGTTGAATATTGTTGAGATGTGTTTTCCCCATGAAAGTGGAAGAGAAGAAGGATAATCAAATTTGCCAACGTCCGGTTGTTGTTTTTACTTTCTGCATATTCTAATATAATGATGATTTTACATTTTTGACTTCAAATAATAGCTTTTATCATTGACAAGTTAAAATTTCAAAATGTCACATAAACACCAAAATATATTCTTTCTTGTCTCAAGGTTATGAGGAAGATAGTTATAGCCTTATAATGATTGCAGAGTTTAAGTAAAATCCTCAATTTTAATCTCCATTGTCATATTCATTAATTTTCAGGAAAATAAAAATCTCCATTGCAAAATATGCTTCTTGTTCTATGCTGAAGATTATTATGTTTCGGAGAATGTCATTCAGAGCATGTTTGGTAAGAATTTTAATCCAATCAACTGCAATTTTTTTTATTGTTATTTCACTATTCTATCCGTCATTTTTGAATTTTTCTTTCACAGATAGGGCTCACTTTATCTCTAACGGTCAAAAAGTCAATTAACAAAATCTCTACCAAACAAGCACTATATATGTTGACAAGAAGTCGAGAATTTTATTTATTTATTTATTGCTTAATAAAAAAAAAAAGTAATTAGTTGCTTGCACTATGGCTAACTCAAGTTTTGGTTTTCCTCCCAATGTTCGGGGAAGATGACCCAATAATTTATTTACCGTTAATTTGAGCTTCAATTTTTTATATGTTCACAAAAACTATTTACCTGAAATAGTTAGTTTTGTATTTTCTCCGAGTTACGTCCTTTATGTTGAAAATTTGGCTTTAGCTCCCTCTCCAAGGTATTTTGTACTTTCCTTTCAATTTTAACAAGGTAGTGGGGTCCATGGACAAATCCCATTCCCTTATTGCTTAAAGTAGTTCTATATATACAAAAGTGATTTTTTTCCCAAAAAAATTGATTTTTTGATCGTTATTTAACTATTTCAGCCGTCATATTTGACTTCTTCTCTCACAGATGGACCATACATTTCTCCTAACGATCAAAAAATCAATTCTCAAAATCATTCCCAAACATGCTCGGAGAGGGAAAAAAAATTATTTTGCATAGAAATGAGATTTGCCTTTCAAGAACTAAAGAGGAATTTTTTTTATTTTTTATTTTTTTTTAATTTTGTGATTATTAAGTGCTTGTGTGAAAGTAATTATTTGAAAATCGTTTTTCGTTAAACTCATTTCTAATTATATATTCTCTAAAAGGTCATGTTTCACTTTTCGACATAATATTTTCCTAGTTTATAACCACATTCTCCAAAAAATAATTTTTCATAATTTTACTTCCACTCAAGCATTAATTAATTATTTAACACCATTGTTCTGTTTGATAGAATTAATTAATAAAATCACTGAATAAAGGGATAGTTTTCAACATCTGATTCTGGTAATCTAATTAAAAGTGGTTTTCATAAGACTAAGACTAATTCAACCTTTGATAATACGTGCTAAATACTTCTCTGTTTTATTTAATCATCTTTACCTTGTAATCAAAGAGGGAAAACTGTATTACTCTATAGACGGGGCAGAATAAATAAGTTATAAAGATAGTGTAACCTTTGTTAATATATTAATGTATGAAGTTGAGTGGAAAAATTTATTCTCTATAAACTTAAAAGTCAACATTCAGTAAAATATTTTATACTTAATTTGTGAACCATTGTGTTGAATCAAAGAGCATGAAAATGAAATATTTGAAAAAGTTATGAAGGAACTTGTCTTTTCGTGAGTAGAGGGGATAAGTAAAAGGACATCCGAGTTAGGATACGAAGCCGCGGCGGATGGGGTCCTTGTTTTCATCTTTATATTTGGCCGCCTTGTTTTTACTGAAATGTTTGATTAAAAATATGAAGATGAACTTTTGTATAAGAAATCCATGGAAGAACATGAACTTGGCTAGTTATTCAAGTGAGTCTTTGAAGAAGCAATAAGAACAAATCTTTCGTTGTATATTTTGGCATCGTAGTTCTCACTGAATTTTTGAAATTTCTCGAGTTGTTAATGAATTTATCAAAATGTTATCTCATCCGTTAATTAATCACTCGCTAGGTTAAAAACACACGTCGTTTATGATTTTGGTAATGCAACATACATGACTTTGAAAATATGTATTGTCATCAAGTTCTTTAACTTTTAAAATGGAGTGTGATAGAGGAATAAATGTGATAATATTTTGGCAAATGTAGTGTTAACTCAAATTTTTTTTTTTTTTTTAATTCAATGACAATTGATAGAAAAATTAAGCCCCTGTTTGTCATGTTTTAAAATTTTAAATTGTTTGCTATATAATCATTTTTCATCACATATTCATACAATAAAATATTTTACATATAAATAAATAAATAAAATTTACTTTTTAATCACACATTTTTCAAAAAAAATATTATTCAATAACTGATTATTTCTAAATAAATTCTATCAAACAGGCTCCAAGGTAACTTGGAAAAGTTTTAAAATTTAAAAGAGGTTTGAGAGTTTTCAATGATCAGCCTGTTTGAGAGTGATTTTTTAGTTCAAAAAATTGATTTTTTGATCGTTATTTTACTATTTTAGCCGTTATATTTGACTTATTCTCTCACGTGTGGACCCCACTTTTTTCGTAAAGGTCAAAAAATTAATTATCAAAATCACTCTCAAACAGACTCGATATAAGTTTTCTTTTAAACTATTTCTTAAAAAAGTAAAAATGATGACAACAAGGGGGAAGGTGGAGATTTGTCTAGTTGGAATAGAGAGGTCACTTAGGCTCACCTGTCCAACACATGAATTCAAAGCCTAGGAAACTCTGCAACAAAACTTCAACAAGAAATATGGGACCTCAATTCTGTTGATTCGACACAAAGAGGGAAAGAGACACAATTTGCAGGCACACACGTGGGAATAGATGTCACGTGAGGCTGTCCAAGTCAAAATGTCAAGTTATCTTTTCATATATAGCTGTTGGCCACGACACTCTCATTAGGAATCGGTCAAACCACTCTTTGACAGTAAAGACCGGCTTTGTGGGCCCCATTCCACGTGCATTACTTCCTGTTTTCTCGTTTTTCTCCCCTCAATCTCATCCTTGCTGCAAATGGATCATTAACCAAACTGCTATACTAATCTCTTGTTTGATAATAATTAAAATCTAAATTTTCATCTAAGTTAAAGTCAATAATTTATTTTAATTATATATTTTATGGATTTCACAATATTTCAATTACATATTTCATCAACTTTCTTTAAAATTTACTAAAAATTTGATTTTAATCCTCACCAAACAGGAACTAATACCACTAGCTCTTTTTCTCAAAAAATAAATAAAAATGATTTATTAGAAATATCTGTATTTCTTGAAAAGAAGTGTGCAACTTGATATATACACTCGATTGTTTACATCTAATAATCACATTAGCAAGACTGGGTAGAGGCTAGACTAACTTAACTATCGAGTCAAGTTGGTCGAGCAAGTGCATCATGTACCATCTTTTTTGCAGCTCCCTGCGAGTAACAATAATTGCCTGAATAATCTCATTTTTCAATTATTCAACCATTTCATTTTACCAAGTCCACATATATAAGAGGTATTGAGCTTATTGGGCTCCAAGTAGCTGTGTTGCTGGTGGAGATTGCTTGTGATTCCAATTTTTTTTTTTTATAAATTTATCTTTACTTAATTTTTTTTTTTAATCAAACCAAACAAGGGTTAAATAATACACATTGGCATAAACCCACATGGCTTGAGAAATTTAAAAAGGAAAAATTCAGTCAGCCATAATATTGTAATTTTATGATGTGTTTATGATATATGATAAATTCATTCGTCTTTTTATCAAAGTTTCCATTTCTCATGAAGCACATATTCACCATTAAATTTTTTTTTCTTTTCAAATACACATTCTCTATTAATTTATTATTTTAAAATAAATTCTTAGTAAAAAAAAAAAAAAAAAAGCTCAAATTGGTGATTACTTTTACTTTTTATTTTTTGAAACTTTAGCAAAAAGGTGCTCAAGTACATGGGTTAGGAGTTGATTGCGTGAAGAGGATGGGAAAAAAAGAAACTGTCCCATCCATCCCCCACAAATTGCGGGCACCGTGACCTATGTAAATTTTGCAAGTGTTCCTCTTTCTTTTGTATGGGAATTCATAGAAATGAGATACACACTCACTTCGTTCATAAACTGCAAAGCACAGATGACAGAAACACAGAATTTTATAGCAAAATAAATAGAAGGGACAGTAACAGACTGCCACTGCCCTTTAAAAGAGTTGAATTCTATGTTTAATATCCAATTCTTTTTCAGAAGATCTACCAGTCCCTTCATGGTTTCATTCATCCTGT